TTCAGATAAAATAAAAATATCCTATCTACACCCTCATTACACTAGCATGCTTCCTCAACTTTCTTCGAATGTGTTTTATACAACTGTTTATCAAAATGATTTTTAGGCACTCTGGCACTCTAAATTGAATCTATTCTTTCATATGTAGCCTAACCACAGCAGAGGACACTGGATGTATTAGCTCTTGGAATCCAGGCAGTCTAAATCTAGTATTGCCAGGAAATAGCACAGGAAGTGCTATTACGTCAGATTTGCTCCAGACATTATCCACACTATAGATTTCCTCTGGGAAACATACACGCATACATGCACACACAGAGTCTATTTGATGATTGCATGTGGTTAATTTTTACTCCAACATTATAGGTTGTTGGGTCTTGATTTTTTTTCCAATTTTATCCTATTTACACATGAAAATATCTCATATATTCTTACCCAAACAATCTGCAAGGCAGTGAAAACGAGGGCAGAATGACAACACTCCATGAGATCACCTCTACTCTCCACTCCATTAGGAGATGAGTACGGTTACGAGTAACAGTTATGAATATTTTTCAATTGCTTTTTTTTTTTTTTCCAAGATGTTTTTGCTATAGGGCACGTGTGCTTGCCAGAAAGACAGAGACAGAAAGAGAGAAATCACCCCCCAGGGGGATAGCCATGCTGCAATCTCTTCTCCTCCATTCTCCTCTCAGGATCCTGGGCACGCACGCACATGTGTCCAGTGTGAGTTTGAGCCACCGGGTCCAGTGACTTGAACCATCAGAGACATAGACATTACGCTAACTGCTGGTCCCTCAATTGCTTTCAATTGAAGTACTTTCATATATCTTCAGTTTCTCTTTCTAGCCCTCATATATTTTGAGAGACTCTATTTAAGAAAGCTGCATTTGAGGCCGGCAGGTGGTATGGTGCCAAATAGCTTTTAGATGGCGAGATCTTCTAAACCAGGTGAAGAGCTTCAAGTCTACCCTCACACCTTATCCTGTGTACGTGCTGGAAGATACATTCAGGTCCATATCTTCAAGTATCAAAGAATTTGTACACAAGCTTGATTCTCCAATATAACTGGGGACGAATTTTTCAGTGCCACTTAGCCACAACTTGTAAAGACAGCAAATAACCACTTATGACCCCTACGTATGATTTGCATTTTCACTAATACTTGCTACTGCCCTGGGACCCACTCGGGTTCACCGTCGCACTCCCTGTGGACCAGAGACACCGAGCTGCTCGGTCTTGATCTGAGGCTCTGAGCCGTGACAATGTCAATATCTGGGGCAGGAGCATGACTCGGGAATTGTGGATCATTAACTAAGGACCTAGGACAGTGAGACCAGGACATTCAAAGGAAGAACTCTTTCTCCCACTCTTATTTCTACTGAACAGTAGGTCAGCAGATTCCTAACAGTTAAAAATATAGACACATATATACAAACATACATAGATGTGTGTGTGTGTGTGTGTGTGTATTTACAACATGACAACATAAAGCTATCGTGAGTAAATGTTTAGATTTTAATGTACATGCGTTTATATATATATATATGTGTATATATATATATATCTTATACTGCTAAGAATATATATTTCTATAGTTTCACATATACATATATTATATATACATGTGTAGATGCGTATATCAGAGAATGGATATGATCAATGTAGATTAGGAGGATGATTCAGGCAGCTTACACTTCAGAAAGATTTCCTATGACCTTGTCCCTATCCAGGATCAAGGACTAAAGAAATATTACAAAGGAAATTTGAAAACTTCAGATACATTTATGAATAATTATGATCAATAGTACACACAGAGAATGATATGGCTTCCCTCAAACATCCATTCCATTCATTTTTAGAAAGATTCATCTTCGTGCTTTTAAATTGGAGTTTCAAGTCCATTACAGGAAGTGATTTTCTTGTTGCTAGTTCTTCCTATTGAGAGTGTGATGTTTGGCTACCTTCCTTCAAGTCTTCAGAAAATTACATGGTTTGGGGGAAAAATAATAAGTTGCCCTTCTGGCAAGTAGCAAGACAAAGCGTGCAATTCCTATTAAATACCTTCAGTATTCCTAGAAATGTCAACCTTCATCAGCCTTTTCAAACAGGGTGCTTGGCGAGGCTGTCTTTGAAAACAAAGATTATGCAATCTTTTTCTGCAATTACAAACTAAGGACATATTTTCTGGATCCTCTCCCTATAAGAAGCCAAACAGAATTTTCCTTTAAGTATGATTCTGTGCTCTGGACGTTCCGACACGTCTCACTTGGTGGGGGAAGAAATGATAAAGACTGTGATAGCACCATCTAAAGACACGCTCGGAGTTCCTGGAAAAGGAGCTAGAGATCTGCTTCAGGCCAGTGGGGGTCTTCCCTCCCGGGGCTATGGGTGGAGGTGAGATGGCTGCACCGCATTCGCTCTCTGATGCTCCGTGCTGAGTCAAAGGCTGAGAGACCCACTTGTGCTCCCAGGAGCAAATCCATCACAGCGCCTAGAACCGGAACCACCACCAGAGAATAAAGCAGCTAACTAAAACAAAAGCACCAGCAGCCCTGGCAGCAGCCCTTGGGCAGAAAACGATGCCTTCTAGTGATCCATTTCGGTTTTTGGAGAAGGCCTTGCTTCATTGAAAACCAAGGAGCAATGACACCCTGAGACTTGCACTACAGGATCCACTGGCCACATGTGCCCACTGAGCACCGGAAATGTGGCTAATTTAAACTGAGATGTCCTGGGGCCAGCAGGTGGCATGGTGGTTAAGGTGCATGACACTCCCACATGGCTGACCATGGTTCAAATCTCAGACATGGTGGCTTGGTTTCTCACTTTTCCTCTCTCTCTCTCTCTCTCTCTCTCTCTCTCTCTCTCTCTGTGTGTGTTTATCTCTGGTCAAATTAAAATAAATGAATGAATAAATAAAATTAATTTTTTTTAATTTAAAAACAGAGATGTCCTGGGACCAGCAGTTAGCATAATGACTATGTCACTGGACTCCTCTGCAGTTCACCTCAGTTCAAGTCCCGGACTCAGTGGCTTAAACTCATGCCGGGTGCGTGTACGTGTGTGCCCAAGATCCCAAGAGGAGGATGGAGGAGAAGGGAATGCGGTGTGGTCATCTCCCCTGGGGGGTGATTTCTCGCTTTCTGTCTCTATGTCTCTCTCTGTCTTTCTGGCGAGTGCACATGCCCTATAGCAAAAACCTCTCAAAAAAAAAAGAAAAAAAAGATGTCCTGTAAGTGCTAAATAAACATTTGATTTGAAGGACAAAACAAAGAACATAAAAGGTCTCAATAATGCTTCATGACATTAAATATCTGTTGTAATTACAATACCTTGGATATACTGGGTAAATATATAGATATAGATATAGATATAGATATAGATACACACACACACACAGGATTGTTGGGAAAATTATGAATTTTTCAGTGCAAAAATGCATCATGACTTTCCCAACAACCTCATATTTATTCAAAATTAATTTTATCTGTATCTACTTATCTTTTTAAAAATGTAGCTACTAGAAAATGTAAAAGCACATATATGACCTACATGTCCAGGTTGCATTATTCTGGATATTGCCTTCAATCTTCCACTCATATTTTTTAAAGAATTATTTATTTTTATTTTTTTTACTCATTTATTTATTATTTATTTTTAATTTTGACCAGAAAGAGAGAACAAGCCACAGGCAGGACGCAAACCGTGGTCGGCCATGTGGGAGTGTCCAGTGCGTTAACCACCACACCACCTGCTGTCCTCGTTTTCCAGTAAGAGTTCCTAACCACCATCATCCTGACCCACTTATCTTTCCACCACCTGCCTGCTCTATTTCTCGCACTGTATTCGTTAGGGCTTCCAAATGCAAAATTATTCTGAAGATACAGTTTCTAGTTCCCGCTTTCTGGTAGAAGCAGAGGACCACATGACAATGTCTGCGTGACAGCTCTTTCTGCCAGGTGGGAGTCTAGCTCATTCCAGCCAGAGCGTGACACCAACTGCAACACCACGGAACTCAGCGATAGTCCCCAGGCAGGCAGGGACCGATGGTGAGGACATGCGAGAAGGTACTGAGCAGTATAAAAAAAAAATGAACACACTAACACATTCCCAACCTACATGAACACTTGTGAAATTTATTCATAAATTTATCCAGCTTTCACAATTTCCTTTATAGAACTTCTTCAGTCCTTGACTCCAATTACGAACAGGGTCATGAGAAAACTTTCTGAAGTGGAAGCTGCCTAAATTATCTCTCTAATCTACATCAACTCCTTTCTTCATGGTATTGAGTCACTGGAAAAGTCACGATACATTTCTGTATAGAAACACATGTCAGGGGACCAGCAGTTGGCGTAATGGCTACGTTGCAGGACTCCCATGTAGCCGACTGCGGTTCGAGTCCTGACCTGGTGGCTTAAACTCACACCGGACGCGTGTGCGTGTGTGCCCAAGATCCCGAGAGGAGAATGGAGGAGAAAGGATTGTAGTGTGGCCATCCCCCCAAGGGGTGATTTCTTGCTTTCTGTCTCTCTGTCTCTCTCTCTCTTTCTGGTGAGTGCATGTGCCCTATAGCAAAAACTTCTCCAAAAAAAAAAAAAGGAAAGGAAAGAAATACACGTCATGACTTTTCTGATGACCCAACAGCCCAGCGTCGCCAGTTGACGTGTGTGTGCAAATTGACAATGAGTACGGAAACCTACTTCAAATGTCCCTGCATCTGCCACTCACTACTCTGAACTGCACGTGGGGTCATGCAGGGCTCCGCTTTCTTACCTCACTGTCCGACAAAGCTCGTATGACCTCACTTGGGGGTACATGGGACCATTTACTCTCACACACGTACACACACACGTGCAGGGGGAAGACTCTCCTCAGAAAGCCCCGGCCTCTGCTTTGAACCTCTCTGCACATGGCGCACAGAACCGTCCCAAGCCCTGCAGCTCTAGTGAGAAGCCCCACATCTGCTTTCCTGCGCGGCCTGGGGTTGCCCTTACCTTGACTTGTTCATTTGAGGTAACAGCACAGAAAACAATCTCTGTGAATCCTTGGGATGGGAACATGCGGAAACAGATACCACCAATAACACGGCCATCTTTAATTAAAGCAAGGGTTCTGTGTTTCCTGAAAGAATAAGATGATGGCAAAGTTTTACCTATCTTGTTACATCAATATACTTTGGGGGTGTGTTTTGTTAACAAACCAAGAATGGGGCGGTGGTGGGGGATGTCTTGAGTTTTTCATGGAATCTTCCTTCAGTAGACCATCTTCTTACCAAGACTCTTCAAAACAAACTTGCCTGCACAAACTTCATAGAATAAGACACCCATCACCTAAGAAGTGTCAGAGGCTTATCAATAACCAACAGAGAACGCATGGAGGTGCTTGGGAATTGGTGCATCCAATGCCAGGGGGACTCGTAGCAGGAGGTCCAAGGAAGAACGCAAATATGGAGTTACTCAAAAAAAATTACCGACACACCGTGCAAAGGAGGACAAACCAGTATGCACCATGAGCGAGCTTTGCACCATGAAATCCAATCAATGTCTCTCTGTCTAAAGCATCACTCTGAATCAACAGATCCTGGATCCTTGCCCACATAGGTATTGGGCAATATAAATAAAAACATTCCTTAGAGACGCTGAATTTTTCTGTACTTCTCTTGTGTGTTTTTTTTTTAAAGCAATGGCTGTACATATATATGCACCAGTTTTCCTGCCTTACATCCCAGTAATTTTCTTAGTTCTTACAGACCTAGGCCACAACGGTACCTAGTTAAGATACCAAAACCAAAAATGTTTTGATTATGAGAAAAAGAGGGACATCTTCTCGATATTTATATTCTCTCATTGCCATCGTGAATAAAGCCCGGAACAGTCACCAGCAACGTAAGATATAAAACTTCATTATTATTAACAAGAAAATGTCTATGTTGTTGACAAAATCAACCTTAAAGCTTTTAGAAAAGAAACTTAACTTGAAGTAGCACTGTGTCCACTGCTCGCTAGGAGGCAGCCGGCTTCAGTGGTGACCGCGGCGTGGCCTACCTTCACTAGCTAAGTCTTTGCTTTTTCATTTGAAAAGGAAATGAGGATGGAACGAGAGGGAAATGGTACTTACGGATCAAAAACGAGCCGGGTAATGTACTCCTTGGGCATCCGGGGCAGCTGGTGGGAGAATACGTTCTGGAGGCCGACCAGCCACATCAGGATCTGCTTGTTGGGTTTCTGGCTCAGAGAATTGCCGACCACGTGAAACTCAATGACACCCCTGCGCTCCTCCAGCCTGGCCGCCTCGTCCCTGGCCGAATGTGCTGACAGAAAATTGGTCTAGGATGCAGGAGACAAAAAAAGAAAATTGTGAAGTGACCCACTTTGTCCCTCACGTGCTTTGCTGCCTCCAGGAGAGATGTTCTCTTCAGACAGTGGGGAAGGAACACACCAAAGCTGCTCATGCTCGTAAGAGACACACCCGTGGATTTTCAGAGTCCCAGACACACACACGTGGATGCGTGCATGTGCACCCACAAACAGGCATGCAGACACACAGGACAGACACACGCACACATTACAAAGACAGAGATCAGAGTCTGAGACAGGTACGCTGAGGATAGCTGGGTCAGCAAACTTTTCTGCAAAGGACCACAGAAAAAAATATTTTAGAGACAGTGAGAGTAAGGGCTTTGTCACAACTCCTGTATTCGCCTGCCGTGACAGTGGGGAAGCAGCCATGGACAACATGTTAAAGAAGGATACAGTAGGGGGAACCAGCAGTTAGCGTAATGGCTATTTCTCTGGACTCCCACATAGTCGACCATGGTTCGCGTCCTGGACCTGGTGGCTTAAAACTCACGCCAGGCGCGTGTGCATGCGTGCCCAAGATCCCGAGAGGAGAATGGAGGAGAAGGGATTGTGGCATGACCATCCCCTCTGCGGGGATGATTTCTCGCTTTGTGTCTCTCTGTCTCTCTCTGTCTGTCTGGCGAGCGCACACGCCCTATAGCGAAAACCTCTCAAAAAAAAAAAAAAAGGGTACAGTAGGGTTCCAGGAAAACTGCATTTAAAAAAAAAAAAAACACAGGAGGCAGCAAGTGGTGTAATGGTTAAGGTGCTGGACTTCTACGTGGTCGACTGAGGTTTGAGTCCCAGACCCGGTGACTTAAAACTCACACCAGGCACAGGTGCGTGCACGCCTGAAACCTCGAGAGGAGAAAGGAGAAGAGACTGCGGTGTGACCATCCCCCTGTGTGTGTGTGTGGGGTG